ATGAAATTTATGTTTTCTATATTTTTAAATTTTCTATAACTTAACGACATCATCTAAATTTAAATATCTTTTTTTATAATATTACCGACGGATAACTTATTAATTTAACTGTTATATTTATTTAATTATTATTTAAACTATGTGTATATTAAACATTGTAGACGAAAAGTTCTTCCTAATCTTAATTGTTTTTACTTGTTATTTAATTATCGAAAGATTTTTTTTTATGTAATATTTGTTTTCTTAAATTTTATTGCTTTACAAAGATGGGAATTATGTCAGTACATTAATTTTACAAAGACAATCTTAACTTACTATTTTTGAATTGTTAATTTGTTAAGTACGAAACTTTTCCATCTGTAATATTTTTTTATTTTATTTTTATTATATTTATTTAATCATAGATTTCTGTTTATAAATTAAGTTTTTATAAATATTTTTTTTTTTGAATAATTATTAACAATAAAATTTGATACGGGAATTTGTCAGTATAACTATTTGGAACGAAAATTTTGAAATTTTACCTAAATATGAGGTATAAGGCAACCACCTAACTTTCATAAAGGTAAACCAATTTTGTGAGTTAGAATTCATATGCTACGTCGTTATTTTTAGTAAGATTAGTTTTACTTTTTTGACCAGTAAAGAAGATCTTTAAAGGGGAAAAAAATGGAAGAGAACAAAGATATATTTGGTATTTAAGAGTTCAACCTTAAAAGGATGGCTATTTGGGGGAAAAAATCCATGCAAGTGTGGTAAAACATAAATATAGGTATATAATTATATCCATGTTGTGAAACACAATATCACAAGCTAACAATAATTAATGCTAGAAAGCATAAATTGCACGTGCAGCCCTCCCTAATTTAGAAGATGCAGTGCACGTGTCTTCTTGGTCAATGTTCAAAAGGCAATGATTGCTCACAAAGACTTGCAGGGGAAGGGAGAAGGGGGGAACAAGCACATTTGGAGAGCGCAGTACAACAGAGCATTGTATGCTACATTCGAGAAGGATGAATCACTC